GAGGCTGCAGTAAACCGAGATTGTGCCACTGCACACTAGCCTGGGCAATACAGTAAGACTCTGTCTCAGAAAAAGATTAAAAAAATCAATGAATCAATAAATGGTAGAAGAACTCTGGGTAATGTGTTTGCCTCTTGCCACCAATTCTGTTAACATGGTAACCCAGGTTGTTCTTTATTTGTTCCTTATTTTTTTTAAGCCAATTTGAAAAATTGCAGAAGCTCCATCTGGGAAAAAATGCTGTGCAAGGTCTCATGGGTTACAAACTGGATGGTCTGAGCCAGCAGGACCTAGCTACAGGGAGGTTTGGAAACATTACGGATAGCATATTGTCTGACTTAGCATCCCCCTTTCTCTGAAGCCCATTGAGATTAAGAAAAAATTCAATTTGGCCTGAGACTGTTTTCCTAAATCAAGTGAGAACATTTTAAGTAGATCTTATAGTCCAGTCCAGGTGCAGTGGCTCATGCCTGTAATCACAGCACTTTGGGAGGCCAAGGCAGATGGATCACTTGAGATCAGGAGTTCGAGACCAGCCTGCCCGACACAGTGGAATGCTCACCTCTACTGAAAATACAAAAATTAGCCAGGTGTGGTGGTGTGTGCCTGTAATCCCAGCTACTCGGGAGGCTGAGGCAGGAGAATCGCTTGAGCCCAGGAGGCAGAGGTTACAGTGAGCAGAGGTTGTGCCACTGCACTCCAGTCTGGGCAACAGAGTAAGACTCTATCTCGGGGGAAAAAAGTAGATCTTATAGATATGAGTCTTTTGATTTAGATGAATATACACGTATGTTAAAACAGGATCCTTTTGGGGTGGGTATGTCTCTATTTCATGCTAGAACCTGAGGATAAATTAAAGTAGACTTTATTTAATAAACATGGGGGGAATTGGAATATAGAAACCCCTTGATTATTTTGGCATGTTTTGTAAGATATAGCAACTAGGACATTACTCTTCAGAAAAAAAGACTGAAGCAACTGATTTTTAAAAATAGTTTAACATAAAAAATCAAAATAATAAAGGCTTCTTTTCTGTTAGAATTTTATCTTAGTAACAAAGTACGATGTGGAAAAAAGAAGTGAAGTACAAAAGATAGACACCCTAGAAATTCCTTTTATACATGGGTAATGTTTGGAAAGGTAAGTATAAATGTGAGGAAGTACAAAGTGATATCTATTATGCACACACACACACACACACACACACATACACAATACTAAGGTTTGTTAATAGCATTAAAATGAAGTTAATGTATTTAGAAAACAGTGCACATTAATGAATTTTTATAGACAGAAATGGGGAAAGAGACTGGCAAACTGAAGAATGTTTTATATTCCTGAAAGCAAAATACCTAAGGTAAGACAAGAAACCAGTTTGAATTGGATCTGTTCGGACCAGGAGTTCAGCCCAGTGAACTTACCATTCCTGGTTGCCCTGGGAACAGCTCATTTTAATAAAATCTCATAAGAAATTGCAAATGCAATAAATATTGTTAGCTGAAGCCTAGGTAGCTCCACTTGGGGAAGACACAGTAAGAAGTTCAGAAGGGATTTGTGCCATAGGAAAGACGGAAGTTATAAGAAGAAGAATTGGAATTCTATATGTAACAGGTTGAGACTGTATTAATGAGAGAGTTTGAGAAAGCTGCAGACAGACCTATGGTTTCTCCCAGTGACTTTCAGTGAAATCTGCACAGCTAATAAAGCATGGATTTGTGTATCCCTATTGCTTCACCTGCCTTGCACTGTCAAAGTGGTTGCCTGGGAACAGCACTTGCTCATTTTCCTGGTGACCTGGGTCAACTGCCTGAGGTCAGAGAATTAGCTGTGGCTTCTAGGTTTAGACAGCATCATTGAAAAGATGAGGTTTTACAAAATCAGCTCCATAGCTCTATTTCACTGACTAACAATGCTTCAGTAATTACAACTCTGTTATTTGTACCCACTGAAAACAAATTCTGGAGAGTTTCACTGATTTGGTCTTTATAAATTAGATAAATGTATTAAATTATCACAAGTATTCTGAAACTAGGTACATTATGCATCAATTTAAAAACTTTTTAAAAATAACTGGAGGTTTTTGTGCCCTAGCAGTAATTCTGAAAATTCCTAAAACCAAGTCACAACTTTAGAAATTAAACTATGAAGCTAGAAAGTAAAAAAAAAAAAAAAAAAAAAAAAAAAAGCAGTGCATTCAACTTACCTTTCTAATAGCTCATTAAAGACATGAAAATGAGTATTTGAAGGAATGGTTCCAGCATGAATTTCCACCCCTGGCTCCACCCACAGAGCGGGATTCAGGGGAGTCAGCCAAGAGACGGGCCTTCAAAAGCAAACTCCCAAAGGCTGTTCCTTACAAGAAGCCTCAGTGGTGAGGGCCTCATTCACGCTGGGTCAGCTGTCAGTTCAGTCTTTTGGAATGGCACCCCAGTCCTCCTGCCTAACTCCCTCTACCTTTTCCAGGCAGATGAACAGCAGAGAAATGGGGTCTGGAGCATCAAGCCCCCAGCTGGACATCCTTATTAGGATGGCATCAGGTGATTCTTATCAGTGCTGGTGCCAATGCATGCTTCTTTCTTGAGAAAGAAAAACAAAATGAGGGGTAACTGGTACCTAAAAACTCTAAAACTGAGTGCCTTTCCTCTTCCATCACAGAGGCAGTTATCTACAAAGAAAGAGGTGAATAGCCATAACCAACAAGGGAATTGACTATCCAGGTTTCACTAGGAACATTTTTAAGGCATTTTTTTTAAACCAAAACACCTATCTGGTATTTGGGCAAAACTAGTGTGTCGAATCCATTAGCTGTAGGCAAGAATAGACCTTACAAGTGAACAAGTTCAAGAACCGGTGCAATTTCAACAACAGGAATGAAACTGATAAATCAATATAGGAAGGGCACTAAAACACATTCTTCCCATTTTCCTTATTACTTATGAATCTTTTATCATGGATAGACATTGAGCCTGGGATAGATGTTTAGGAGCCAGTCGTCTAGTTCAGAGTCCATGCTTTGCAGATGGGACAGCAAGGACCAGACAGTGGCAGTACCAAAGCCAGAATGTCCACCCCCTGCCTAGTCCACCACTTTCCTCCCTCACACCAGGGCAACATCATGCAACACAGAAACAAGGCTCAGCCCTTACCCATCTCCCACCTCACTACAAGCCCAAATACGTGCAGTACCCACAGGAGGAAACTCTAGGTGCAGGCAGAAGCATTCTCCATTCAGCTTTCCTCTTACTTTGCAGGTAACCATTTTAGCCCTCTGCAGAACGAGAGCCATTTTTACACCGTGGTTTTCCTAAATGTATTTGATTTTATTCCTACTTTCTCTACACCGATTCCACTTCATCATTTTAGCTCCTTCCATTCTAAAAGCAGATGGTGGAAATCATAGGACTGGAGTGCTGGTCACAAGGTTTTAACTCAAGGATGAAAATGCCAACTGAGACTGGGATTTTCTCTAGCACCAAGTTAACTTTCCTTTACCAGAATATCCAGATTGGTGCTCTTATTAAACTTTTATGAAATGGGAATAAATTGGAGTTTACTCCAGTTCATTCAATTCTCCCAACAAATACATAATTTAAAATGTGGTAGCTATTAAAAAGTGAACTACATGATCAAAGGAAGAGTCTAATAAATAAACTGAAGAATTTCTATTCTCCTAGGATTTAAAAAATTCCAAATGTGCTTTATTTTCAAAAGGTAAGCAGGTTTTAAAAGTTTCCCAAAACTTCAAATATTGTACAATTAAGAATTAAAACATGTTCTCAGAAATGCAGCTGATATTCATTTTTACAACCCACCTCTACTCCTGCCCCCCATGAAAGTTATTTTTCTAAAAACTCTCAGCAAAATCTCTCATCAAAACATCTCCCTGAATAATAAACCATTTACCTACAGATTGTGTCCTGGAGAAAGCTCAGACACTCTAATCCCTCTTCATGCCTCTAAGAGACTTTAATGCAGATGCTTAAATTTTTTGCAATTAAAATATAAAAACCACCTCCAACAACAAATACCTTTAGTCCAGCCATGGAGAAGAAGCTCAAGCTTTCTAGATGACAGATACCATTATGACAAGATTACTTCAATAGAGCATTCCAACATCCACAGCAAGGATGAACAGAATTCCAGTTTGTGTAACATTAGCAAAGCTAAATGTTAACACATTTGCAAAAACACCGCCAGCATCAGACAAGCAGACTGATCTTAAACATGAGTTGCGAACTTCATAATACTCCCATTTCACCAAAGAAAAGACAGTTACACTAAAGCTGAAGCACTATATTCAATAAATGGGGGGATCTCAGAGAGTCTGGAGCTTTAAAAATTCATTCTGTGGGTTCTTTCACTTGAAAAGGCACTGCTCAGCATATGAAGAAATGTAAAAAGCTAGTTAACCTGAATGTTTATTCTTAATCGTTGAAGTTCACATTTAATTCTTCTGCTGGTTCACTTTGGAGATATTGCAGGAGAAAGAAAATATCAAACTAGCTTTTTCCATTTTTGTCATGAATTCCAGCTTATGGAATAGCAGAGCTGGAGTTGCATAATAGCAGTGGAAGAGGTCTGGAGCATCGAGAAGCTGAGACGAAGGCAAAGCCGCACACTTGTGTCATCTCACCAGATTGAAACCTATGGTCACAGGCCGTCTAGGCCATATTCAGAGCAAAAAAGAGACTTTAAAAACAACTTGCAATGATTTGAAGAAAAAAAAAATGCGTGCACAGGTAAGTCGTTCTACTTGCAGAGCAGTGGTAAAACAAACTGCCTGGCAACGAACTTCTAAGTGTGCAGCCACCTCTAATTTCACAACACTGAAGTGTGAGGTGCACTAGTGTTTGTGTGTGTGTGTGTTTTTTTAATAGCAGAGACACAAAGAATGCAAACTGCCCTGCACACTCACAAGTGGAAGGCCCAGTTCATGACAAATACAGCTTGAGTCATTGTCCATGCAAAGTACACGTATATTAAAGGAGTGAATAACATACCCATTCCGAGAGATCACTGAGCTAGCAAAATCAAAAACAAAAGAGTAAATGCATATTTTAGTGTGCGTAGGTTTTGCTGAAAGCTTTCAACTTATTTGAGGAGTCTACTGATGCCCACTACAGAGAAAAAAAATGAGAATAAAAAAGGTGGATTTCCTACCTAGTAAATATTTTATCTCGAGGTTTGCAATAGCATTAAATGTAAAAGTTTGTTTTTCCTGTTATGTTCTAGTACAGTGCTGATGTCATCAACAAACTATAAGCAAGCCACGTGCTGTCACCTAAATCTGCTGTATCAATTTTTTATAACTACATTTACATAAGAAAATCCACCCAAGAAAAATGAATAATACCTCCATCAGGCAATTTGGAATTTCTTTCTCTTAGAATTGGAATCAATCAATCAGATTTGGTTGAAGTAAGATCTTCCAGATGGCATATTTTAACTAAAAATCATGTCATCAAAAGGCCAGTCCAAAAATAAAATGTGAGTTATTTGTATCTATTTTCATAAATATCAGCTTATCATGGAAACATTAGGACATACATATGTTTAATGACAATTTAAAACACATTGAAACCTTAATTTGGAGGCCTCTAAATTACAGTAATATTTATCAAAATAGTGCCTAGCTCTTTGAGGAAAGAAAACCTGTCAAATATACAGGATATGTCCCCTATAATTCCACAAGAAAATTTATAGGAGACTCTCATCTCAAAAAAAATTAGAATTACGTAGTCAACGCTTAGTGCTTTAGGGTTGCTGTCCTGGATGGACTTTGTAAAATTCTCCCTGTCCACAGCAAAGCAGAATAGGAATAAACAGACTCATTCTACTTAGATAAACGGGAGCCAAGGTCTCAAGAGTAATGGTTAATATGAAAAGGCGAACATTTCCACAGCTCATCAGTGATGAGCTACAGCCCAAAGGACACACCAGAGGAAGTGACGTGGTGACACTTTTCCATTTCAACTTGGTACATTGCAACCATTACAGACCTGAGAAAGGACTTTGCATCTAAATGATGTTGTCACTTAGAGGTGGTGAACCTAAAGCCCGGGTAGTAAGAGATTTGCTTAAAGTTAAATTTCCAGTTGGTGGCAGTGTTAGGACCAAATCGAAACCCCCAAACTCCCAGCTTTGTCACTGAAACAGGCTGCCTGCCCTTAGTACCTCTGTAAGGTGAACTCTAACACAGGACAGCTTTTAAAGAGGTTTTGACAAACTTTTGCTCATGACAGCAATTTTACCAAGCAGATTTGTTATTTTGCTGAATATAAAAATATTATTTTTGCAGCAGGTGTGGATGGCCAGCCATAGATTAAAAAAGGAAAGAACAGCATCTGAAACCAGAATGTTCTTTTTCTCCCTCTCCAAAGAAAAAGCGGACTTAAGTCAGGCAAGTTAAAAATTTAATGATGGGATACCCTGCTCTTACCAATTAGGTGTTGGGAGGTGGAGTGTCCCCAAGGTTAGCAGCCTAAAAGGCATCAGCACTGGACTGGGGAGGTCCTGAGTGAGGGCACCAAGGACATTCTTGGGACAGCTTCAGGCAGTGACTTTTTACCAACCAGTACAAAGGAAATTCAGGCTTTCAACAACTAGCATGGCTATTCTGGCTGTAGGGACTTGACATGTATGAGGCAAGACCTAGGACTTACATCACAATATGAGCACGAGGGACTTAGTGCTTTCTCTCCAAAGGAAATCTTAGGAACTCTCCTAAAGTATAATCAATGGCTGTTAGATCTGACTCATTAAACTATTTATTTTAAAAAATGTAATATTAAAATGTGTAAATGGGGATGAGGTTTACAGTTATGGATGCAGTTCCTCCATCAGTCATGTTTCCTCCCCACACACACACACACACAAAATAAATTCTATTTCTAATTTTTTTCCAGCAGTTATAAAGGGAAGATAAAAACCTCAGAGTGAGACATGAAATCTGGATCATGGTGGTTCCCCCTTTCTTCTATGATATAAAAATGTTGGCAGGCACACAGGGACCTAGGAAGAAAGAAGTAAGGATCCTACTAGCCTTCTTCATTCTAGATGAGTTTGCACAACATGTCTAAATCTTGGCACAGCCACAGGTCGGACTTTAAACAAGGGGCTTCTAATAATTCCCTTCATTAGTGTTTGATTTATTTATCACCTAGCAGTGTCAGGGTAGATGCATCTTTAGCTGATTCTTTTTTAATGATATTGCCACCTGTTACTTTTTGAGGCTTTTTGAGATGAATGAATGTCCTAAACTTGGCTGCAACGTAAATATCTCATGTATCTCACGACATGTACTGTAAGGACCTTTACATGAATATAGCATAATGTATGTTTATGCTTCACTGGCTGTTTACAGGGTCACATGATACCAGGACACAGCCTGTAGCACTCACAGGAAGGTGACCATCATGTCATCCTCAGGAAGCAATAACTTCCTTGTGTGATATTCCCTACTGTAACGACAAGGATAAATCAAAGGAGCCAAAAGCTCCTTTCACAGTTAGTGGGGCTATCACACAAGTAATACAGGGAAATGAAGAGCTTCTCAGTGAGGACATCTGTTATAAAGGTTCTTGCAGAAATAGTATCTTCCTCAGGTCACATTTCCCAAGGAAGGTTAAAAAGCTGCTTGTGTATTAGCATGCCAGACATTTTAGAATCCAAAGTCAAGCATAATCTTATGTGTTCTGGACATGCATCAAGTGTAACATTCATGTGGCAGACCATACCATTAGTTCTTTTTATATTTATATCTCATCTCTGTAGTTGTAAAGGCCTGACATTGATGAAGTCAACTTTTAGAGAAAACCGGAGCCCTTATCAGAAGGAGTGCAGTTGGTAATTGTGTTAATCAAAGCCTTTCATTTCTAGAAGCATTATGTCAGTTCATGTCAGAACCCATTTGGAGTTAAGTTTAACATGCACTTTGTCCTGTAGAATAGGACTCTCCTTCCTTTGAGGCAGTTTGTATATTCCTGAAGGATCCGTATAACAGGATGATGTGGACCAGGGATGAATAGAGGAACCAATACTTTTGTTTTCAAACTCACAGGCAGTTTTAGGCACTGATCTCATTTAATTCTCCTTTGAGGCACATTGCATCTTGACGATGTGGAAAGTAAGGTACAGAAAGGAGAAATAATTTGCCCTCTTGGTCACCTGGTCCAACACATCAGCCTGACACTGAAGACGGAGCTTTCTTTCCCCGCCCCATCACAAATGCTGTTTGCTGTCACTTTAAAGTCATTTCTACAGGATGATGGGGATTGAGGACTTAGAGGGTGATGCGGACATCTCCTTTGGCTCCATGTCCTGCTAAAGGTTGATAGACACTACAGGTCTAATAAATTGAAAATGTGAAAATACTTTAATATTTGATTGCAGGAATTTTACTTCAAACTGTAGTCATAAAATTGACCACGGTGCCAAGCAGCTCTCCCTTGGTAATTTTCCCCAGAATAAAGTTAGATAGGATTAGATCAGAGGTAAAGCGATCCAAGGAGGAGCTGAGATAGGGCAGACTCTGAGAGGCACCAAATGTTCTCTGCTTCAGGTTCTCCTCATCACTTATTCTCCTTCTCAATATAAAGCTGGCTCCCATGTGCTACTGGCTGCAGCTAAGGACATTACAATAATAAAGAAACCTCTTTGCTGTTAAATTAGGGCATTTTTGTTTTCTTTGTTAGTAAGAGAAATTGCCGCAGAATTGTAAATCCTTGCAAAAAGACTTCTGTATACTCAAAACTATTCTGAATAAACAGCTGAAGTCATTTTTTAAAATGTCCAGTTGCAACACACCCGGACCAATTTTTGACTAGAAAGAAAAATTATACTCTTCAAAGCCTCCCATTTGGTAGCAGTCGTGATCATTAGCGAAAATAATATCTACTTAAGAACAGAAAATGGCTATTTCCAAACAGAACGGAGTGGCATGCAAAGGCTTCATCCCACTCAAACATCCCCAAGCTCTCCAGAGAATCATTCTGCTCTGTCATGTTAACTCACTTCCCTGTTTTTCCTTTTTCTTCCCTGCTGAATATTATCTTCTGAAATCAAATTAAGTACCAATAGTAAATGTGCACAGTAATTACTTCAGAAAAGCAGAATAATCAGACTCAAGAGATGATATAAAACTCGTGTATTTCACACGAAAGACTGAGAGCCCAGATGGGATTGTAAGCGAGTTCCAGGAGGGTTCTCGTACTTGAAGCTACTGTTCAGGTAACTATTTTGAGGAGCCATCAATGTACAGTAAAATAACATGACCTGAAAAGAGTGCCTTTCCATCTGTATTCCATCTCTCTTCTCAAGTCCCTTTACTCTGAGATCTCCAGCACTACTCCTCATAATAATAGTGATACATGTGTCAAGATGGGAAATAATTATTAGGTCTCTCTTATCTTTGGCAAAAATAGAATAAAAAGGCAATGTGGAAAATTTCAGAGTCTGACTCAACATGATGATGATAATGATTCTGTAGATATTATCAAAAATGTCATGGATCATTTATTTTGAACATGGGTTTTTAAAGAAGAGTAGATTATTCCAGTAAGATTTAATATATTGGTTTCTAAATGCTGTAAATTATAGATGGCTCCTGAAATATATAATCATACTAAACAAACTTCTGCTATAGCACACCTGGTAATCAGTATAGGTCTTTACATTCTAAAGTGGAGAGTTCAATTTTATTGAAGTTGCTCCTTCCATTCTACTTGGAACATGAACGTTTGCTTATTTCTCTTAAGACAAGCCAAGTTAAGACTATTAAGTTCTTTGCAACAAGGAAGAACCAGAACTTTTGAATTTACTTTCTCATCCATAGGACTCTCTGAACCACTAAAGCTAGATGATAAAGAAAAAGAAGTACTTTGAAATATACTTTTAAAGCAGGATAAGAGGATAGCCAAGAAATAATTCTCCAATTAACATGGCATCTATTTGTCTTCTTAATTTCTATCCTGGGACCGTAAGTAGGCTGGATCTAGCAGATCTTGTTTGACACTGAAAGCAGTGATATTTAAAATCAACTAGGTCTCCCTCATCGAAGATTTCTGCATATGATGCATCTTGGAAAAGGAAGAGTGATCAATTGAAAAAAAAAAGTTTCCCTAAACTGCAAGTGTTTGAGGGTATGTGGAGGATATAAGATGCTGAGGTCAATGCAAGAGAGGGAGAAATGAACCCAGACTGAGGCAAACATTAAATAAACAAAAATCTCACCTGTGTTAATGATCTAAGGCACAAAGCAATTCTCAGTTGTCTTACTAAAGCATACTTATAAACCAAAAGAATGAAAAAACACAAATATTTGGTATTAAGGGTCTTAGAGATCTAAGTCACAGAACACCGTGGTCTCAAGAGATTAGATGTACCCAAGATCACATTAAGGGCTGGAGGATGGCTGAAATGGAAACATCTATTCCTGTGATTCTACAGTCATTGTCTCTTCTACTATGAATGAGACATGTCCATATTACGTATGACTCCAAGTATGAACAAACTGTGCTACTAGGTAAATGCGAACAGTTTCTACCCAAAGACAATGTACTCTCCAGTACAGAAGAAAAAAGACTTGCAATGACAGTACAGAGAAGATCTGTGATAGAAAAAGTACCTAATGTGGTTTCAGCAACAGGTTTGTGGGGTCAGCAGAGGCTTCACAACTGATCTAATAACTAAACTGGTTCCTTGAAGGATACACAGAGATGACTTAAGGGAAGTGAGAGAGGAGGAGGAAAGTTGCTCCATGTTGAGGAAATAGCTAATATGCAGGATCAGATGTAAAAGAGAAGTGGCATATTTGAGGCAGAGAGAAGAATTCAGTGTGGCTGGGACACTGAGTACTTGGTGGGATGTGGTGAGAGATGGGCAGGAAAGATGAACAGGGCTCACCAACTCCTAAAGGGCTCTATGCCATGTTTTGGAATTTGGAATTTGTCTCAAAATAACGGGAAGATGAAGGATTTTCAAATAGGCAACTGCAATAATTATATTTGCATTTTGGAAAGAGCTGTTGAGTGGAAAAATGGGAGGAGGGGGTAAGTATAGAAGGAATCAAAGCAATTAATAGGCTGTTGCAGTAACAAAAAGGTAGAGGGTAGTCATCTAATGGAGTATGGGGAAGTGAGGATGGTGGAGAGAAGTGATGGAATTTGAGATATTCAGGCAGTAGAATTAAAGTATTTGATGATAAATATATATAAATTAATGTGAGTCGTTAGGAAAGATTAGAGTCAAAAATTATTCTGAAGTATCTGGCCAAAGTTTTGCCCACAAGACATGCCATGGGCTTGTCTCTTAGTTAAACACTTAAGGATAATTTTACTGACAATGAAAACTCAAGACTATTTGTACTTGCTCATCATCAGTGAGACCATCAAGTTCTGGACACATGTCAAAGACTCTGAATTCTGCAGGAAATCATGTTCGAACTCCCGTGACTTGGTTGTGGTCCACTGGAGCAGTCATAACTCCCTAGTGAGGTTTTCCCAAGAAAAAAAGAAACTACCTTGTAGGCACCCTCAATCTCAGGACCCTCTCAGCCTCTCCACATTCCCTGGTGAATTCTAGGGTAAGACAGCAGAGCAGGCTCAGCACCCTGTGCCTTGCTCAGGCAGCATTAGTGGTGGTCTATTTTCCGGTGGAAGCTGATTAACCCAAAGGAAGCAGAAGTAGCACTGCTGAACAGCAACAACTAAACTCAGGGAGAAAGATTTGTTATCTCCATATGAATCACCTCAGTCGTCTTAAAAATTTTCAGTTCAAAGTTGGATGAAATGTAGAATGTATTTTGGGGATGCGGCGCATCCCAATCCAAACCTAAGACACAATTCAGGTACTCACCCCTTCGCCGCCATTTTCACCTGTGTTGGCAAGCATTTCCTGCAGGGCTCTGACAGATAGGGACTGTTCCAGCACAAAACTGCAGACGCAGAGATCTGGAGGAATGTACTGTGGAAATAAAATCAGAATGAGGATACCTACTCATATCAGTCAGAGATCAGTCACACAACAACATCTCAAGGGCAAAGAGCCTATGAATCAAAATGACAGTTGGATGGATGAATAGGAATACAAAAAGGCAGTTTCCTCTTATTCAAGATGAGTTTTAAGATGGTTTCTAAAGAATGATAAGAAAAGCCCCATTTATCAAGGGATCAGTTTTCAACATGTCAGGATCAACTTGAGGGAAGGCTGGTGATACATACGGAAGAACACAGACCATAGCCTTGGCAAAGAAAGGACAGGAAGGGCAGGCTGATCTACACCCATGTCTGGGTGAGAGCGGAGAATGAAAGCCACTGGGATCTCATCCACAATAATCTGTAAGAGGGCAGTGGACAGACCATAATGTGGCTCTAGACAACAGTGACCCTAATAGAGAATCCATTTATTTGTTAAGAAAACCTGGATATAGTATAAAAAGAGGCAATAGAGGGGGTTAAGAGCTATACAAATATAGCAAAAACAAAGAAATATCCAGAACTTCAAGAATTGATGACCTCTACAATAATCATTCCAATTTATTAGAATGAGTTAACAGTAACGAGTTAACATCATGACTGACATTCATGCCTGTTCTGGAACCTTTCTTAACAGTTAGACAGTCTTCTTTGCATACTGATTAACAGTAGCTAATATTTGTTGAGTACTTTATGCCAGGCACTGTACTAAGGGCTTTGTATATGTTAACTCATTTAATCTTTGCAACCACCCTATAAGATAGGGACTATTAATATTCCAGTTTCTGGCCAAGGAAATGAAGGCACAGTGAGTTTACATCACCTGCCCAAGTGGCATATTTGGCTGAGTCAGCTTCAAATCCAGTCTGTCTCCAAAGTCGATGCACTTAACCCTATACTGTTCCTGCCACTGATAAAAATATTAAAGTTTTTCTTCACAGTGAGAACATCTTAAATCAGCAAATATTCAAGTATTTCATTTATGCTGTGCTTGATATTGGAAAATATACAAAGAAATACAAAGCAAAATCATTGCCTTACTGGAATGTACAATCCTGTTTCAATGACATACCGTTTTGCTTGGGAATACAGCTTGTGATCACCTGTGCACCAATCCTTTGTTTCCTACATGATATTGGCAGAACATCAATACCATGAGAACAGCAGGAGTGAGTAATGAGGCCAGAAGTCACCGACAGCCATGCTTAACACTTCAAAACAGGTAAAGCTGTTTCCATGGAGCTCCAATTTAAAATCTAAAGCAAGTCTGCTCCTAAGACTCAGACAACCACTCTAACTTCAGCATTTATTTTTTAAATAAAAATAATGGAACTGGTCAACTTTAAGTTCCCTTTAATTCCCGAGTGGTTATTCTTCCTCCTCTCCCAACTGCAATATTCTCAAAGACAAGATAATTGGCCTGCTGGACCTGCCTACATTTTAACTTTATTAATGTTTTAAGCCAGGAATGGATAATCCTGGCTTCCAAAGGCTGCTGGCTCTGGGTGACTTACATTTTCAAGTACTTTTCTACCAAGGATTTGAGTGAGTACTTTTCTACTTAAATACTTTTCTACTCAAGGTCTCCATGCTGAGAAATCCTAAAAACCTAGTCTTAGCATGCTGGCAATACAGGACCTTGCCCAATTCTTTTTGTTAAAACAATTAACCAAGAAGAGATCGTAACACAGGAGGATTACAGCCTTCATTTTATGTTTTTCACTTTGTTTTCAAAGTCTGTTCCCAAAGCAGGTAATTAACTCATTTGTATGGGACTTGAGCAACGAGGGACCAGCTGGTGATGCAGGGCAGAGATTCATGTCCAGGAAATATTTGTACACACACAGCATTATTACAGGGAGCATACAATTATATGATAAAGCATTTCCTTACCGATCTTAGGCCATAAACATATATTGTCCAACTTAGTCTTCCAAAATGTGATGCCATCTCAGGAGATTTTATAGAGATTTTTTCCACCACTCTTTGCTTACCTGAACTTCATGTTCCCAAAATAGGAAGCATAAAAGCCATAGTTTACTTGTTTCCTCTACTTCCAATTCATTAGAATGAATGATTTGGAGATTTCCCATTGAGGAATATCTGCAGTTATGTTTGGTACTTTAAAGGTTGCTTCTTGGCAAATTAGTTAAACAGTCATGACATTCAGGCCCACTTTTACAATAAACCTAGTCAGTCCATTCTCTTTAAGACAGAAACCTTCATAGCTCCAAGTGCTAGAGATTCTGCCCTTACATGACATCATGTAATTCTAAGTCAGCTTGCTTTCCTTCCTGTGTCTGGTTTGTTCAGACAGGAGACAGAAACTCTCCTCGTCTCTGCCAGCCTCCATTCTGAAGAAGGAGTACTAATAGGTAATAAGGACACTAGGCATGCTCTAATTATAGCTGTCCTTTCACTCCAGGTGTTGAAAGTCCCAAGGTGGTCACAATTTCATTACTGGTGTGAAAGGGTATGTTTAAACAGGACAGGAATGTGCACGGAGAGGAAGCCTCTCAAATGGGAGCAGTGTACCTGCCACTGGTTTACAAAGCTTCCTTGCAGCTTCGTTTCTGTACCTCTGCAGCGTGGTCCCTGCCTGGACTCTGTATACTTGGGAAGGAATAAGATCACGCCACTCCAATAGCACACAGAACAATGTGTGGGCAGTGGTAAGGGAGGGAACAGAGCAACTGGAATGTCTGGAGAAAAACAAAACAACTAAGAACTTGTGACTTGAATGGAGCACAGAGCACAGAGCCAACAGACCTGCTAATGCCAGCTGCCATCCTTAATTAAACTCCAGCTGGCCTGAACTTCCACCTCCACATTCCTGAAGAATGAGCAAAAGCCACTGGTCCATCAAAGCTAATTTGTTTGCAGCCCTCAGAGTCCCCTAGGAGGCTAGCTCATTGTGTCTGTGCTGTGGAGCCTGGGCCTCAGTCACTTTACCTGGCAGGCAGGGGGCAAGCATCTGTTGATTCTCAGCATGGAGAGAAGGGCTCTGTGGACAACTGTTCTGAAATAGCTCCTCATCACTCACCCCAGCCCTGTCCTGAGCCTACAGAAGCACTACATTTCCAACTGTCCTACAGGAAACCTTGAGATATCAGGGCCCTGGGTAAGCCAGGAACTAGTATTCACTTAGCCTCACTATGTGGAAAATAGCAGGAGGCAAGGTCTATAAATCCTCCGTGCTCTATAAATCTACATAATGGCATATTGTTCTGGGGCTTATTGAGTCCGGAATAGTAGAAATCTGCTGCCCCTGTTACTGTGGACATTTAACATTTCCTCTGTCTGACAACCCACAACAGACGCTTTGCACTGTACTAGCATACACTAGCCAAGCCCTCAGGGAAATGAGGTAGGGAGTTAATTACGCAAAGTAAGACTGTCACCTCTCCATTGCACTGTTAACCACTGTCTGTTTTCGCTTAAACAGTTCTTGATGCACTGAAGTTTGTCTGTTTCACTAGGTTGTGGGTCTCTTAAAAAAATCTGTGCCTTATTTTACTGTTGGTATCCCAAGTACCTAGAATAAGCACCCAACTCCAGTCTTCTTGAACAGACTCTGTGTCCTTCAAGCCTATCCAGGAGTGTGTTGCTGATGGTGGCTGTGGCTGTAGACAGACTGCATTGAGTACTCATCTGCCTGGCTGAGCCTCCTCCTTAAGTCTCCTACTTGTTATTTAAGAGATCTTTCTTCTCCCAGTGTCATGAATTCCTTTTCACTTCACTGTTCATCTATCTGGTTCACACATGGTCATGCCTCAGTGATATACCTTGTAGGTGCGTCAGTAGCTCTGAAGGCAATATAGGGGCTACTGGTGAAGAGTGAACACTCTAGTGTAGGACTACCTGAAGTCAAATCTCTGATTCACTACTCACTAGATGAATGACCTTGTGCAGGTAACTTAGCTTCTGTTATACGTGATTTTTGTACCCTTATCTGTATAATAGATGTATAACAGTACCTACTTCTCAGATAAACTTTTTATGCCTAAAGAGCTTAAAATAGGATCTGATGTATACAGTAAATACTTAATGTTAAACATATCCAACAAAGAGCAATGAAATCAAAACCTCAGGAACTCAGTGATACGTTCACTAATATATTTTTGAAGTTCTTATTTGTGTAAGAATAAGGCAAAATCCCTGCCTTATAGGATTGTGTGATTTAGAGGAATGTCAGGGAAGCAAATGAATAATTTTCGAAGTGTGAGACAAAAGGTCCAGAGGTAAGAAAACCTGAGGAACCACACAGAGTTGAAGATAGCTGAAGTGGACAGGAGAGAGGGAGAAAGGAGGAGAGAGGGAGACAGAGGAAAAAGGAAAGAGGAAAGAGGAAAGAAAGAGGGGGAGGAGTAAGGAGAGGGAGAGGCAGAGATGGAGGAAGAGGGAGGAAGGGGAGAGGGGAGAGATGGGGAGAAAAGGATAGAGGACAGGGAGCGGAGAGGGGTAAAGAGGGGTAGAAAAGGGGAGAGAGGAGGAGACAAAGGGAGAGAGAGGGAGGGGAATAAGCATGGGGAGGTTAGAAGTAAGGCTGAGGAAGAAGTAGGCAAGGACTACTTGCCAAGGAGGAATTTGGGCTTCATTTTCAGAGAATAGGGTGCCATTAGAGGAAGTTATGTAGGAAATGGTATAATCAAATTTGCATCTTTGAAATATCATTGCAGGTCCAGTGTCAAGAAGGCTAAACATATTTTTGACAAAGGCATTAAGAGCATACACTGGGGAAAGAACCATCTCTTCAACAAATGGTGCTCAGAAAACTGAATGTGCATAAGCTGAAGAATGAAATAATACCCCTCACACATACCATATACAAAAATCAACTCAAAATGGATTAAAGATGTAAATGCAAACCTGGAAATTATAAAACTGTTGGAAGAAAACATTTAAAAATGCTTCAGGACATTGGTGTGGAGTAAGATTTTATGAATAAGAAAGATCTCGAAAGCACAGGCAACAAAAACAAAAATAAAT